CCCCCGCCCTTTCTTTCTCTCTTTGCTAGGGATTAAGCCCAGGCCTTTCCCACAGAGCTACATCCCCAGCTCTTTCTGTTTTTATTTTGAGACTGGATTTCACTAAATCCCTAAATTGCACAGGTTGGGCATCAGCTCACGGTCCTCCTGCCTCGGCCGCCCAGAGTGTTGGAATGACAGGTGTGCACCACTACACCCAGTTCCATCCTCGTTTTATAGGTAGGGAAACTGAGGCTTGGGAAAGTTAAGTGACTTGTTACCAGCTATCACAGTTCCATCCTCCCACCCCCAATCAAGGCCAGAAAATCAAGAAGCAGTCAAGGCCTTAAAGAGGAAGTGGACAGGAACCTCCCAGAAGAGCCCAGCTTGAGGGAGGGGGCAGCAGAGGAACAGGGTGCAGCGCCCTCCCTCCTGGGCAGTGACACTGGAGGGGCACTGCGGCCCTGCCTGGGGCTTGGTCTGCACCTGTGGCCGGTCAGGCACTTCCCTGGCGAGCAGAGGTCGAGGTGGAGGTGGGCCTGGTGTGTGCTCCCTGCTCAGGAGCCGGCAGGGCGGGGGCTGTGGCCTCGGCCCGGCCTGGCCTCCACCACCCCTGCCCCTTGCCTGGGCCAGTTTCAGCCACGTGAGAAATGGCCTCTGGGTCTCTACCTGTGGCAACGTGAAAGGTAACACTTGCACGGGGGTGCAGAGTGCATGCACTGGACTCGTGGGGGCAGAGAGGCTCAGGGCTCCTCATGGGGCTCCTGTCCGCCCACCACCTCCCCTCATTCAGGCCTGCCCCTCTGCACAGGAGGCCCAGCACACCAGTCAGCTGCCCTGCCGTTCTCCTCAAGGCCAGTCTCCAGGGTCCAGCCAGCTGCCTCGCTGCCCTGGGGCCTCAGGCTGAGCCAGGCCAAGGCAGCACCACACATAGGGCCTCTCCCTCCAGGCCACCAGGAGGTACTCAGCAGCCTCTGCTCCCGCCTGAGGTCCAGCATGCCCCACCCCACCACCTGGCCTGCACTAGGCCTTGAAGGAGGAGCACAGTAAGTTCCCCCAAAGTTGGGCCTGATCGGCGAAGGGGACTTGTCTGGGGCTTTTCAGTCTGTTCTTTTCTCAGAAAGCAGAAAGAAAGAAGGGTGCAGCCTTGCTCAGTTTCCAGAGTTGATCTTCAGGGTGACATCCGGCAGTGGCACCAGCCGCTGGGAGCCCGCTGGATGCCCAGGCCCGCCCTAGACTTCCTGAAACTCTTTACCAAGCCCCAGAGAAGCTGCTGATGCCGGCCAGGCTGGGAGAGCTCCTGGCTACAGCTGCCCTCTGCCCCCTCTGACCTGGTCTTCCCCAGATGCCCACCCGTCCCTCCCTCCCGAGCTCAGCGGCTCCACAGGCTTCTCCCCTGCAAGCTGCCCTGGAGTGGCCCTCAGCCCCCTTTGTCTGTGGCTCCTGGACCATCTGATCCGTCTAAATGCCTGTGAGACTCAGGTGCCAGAGCAACGTTGGGGTCAGAGCCTCCTCTGCTCGGAGGCTGGAAGCCCCTCCCCTGCGGTTTGCACCCCAGTGGCACCGTAGATGTAGGTGTGCCTCCCTGCTGGTCTCCTTTCTTCAAAGGCAATGCCATCTTCTGAGCAGGGACCTCAGTCCGCCAACGGGTAAAGAACAGAAAGGCCATGCAGAGGCAAGGTGGCTTCCACAGTATCCAGGATGCCAAGAGTGCAGAAGCCGCCTCGCCCTACCCTAAGTCCTGGGAGAATCCTCCGTGTCCCCCACTGGCCCCACCAGTCACTGACCCTCTCTGTGCTCCTGTGTACAGCCCAGCAGTCGCCAGCCTTGTCCCCTACTTCGCGATGCCCTTAGCTCCTCAGCCCTTCACTCTACCCAGTGCCAGCTCTGTCTGCTGGGTCTTACGCCTTTTGCTTCGGAGCAGCACCCCTGTCCTCTCCTCGACAAAGCCCCCCCATCCCTCGAGGGCTGTCTTACTCCATTTCTTGTCACCACGACAGAATACCTGAGACTGGGTGATTTAGGAAGAATGGAAGCTTACATGGCTTGGAGGCTGAGGGCTCCCACACCATGGCACCAGCTTCTGTGGGCTGTCTTCATGCTACATTGTCACTTGGCAGAGGGCACCACGTGGCAGGACAGGAAGCATGCCAGCTCAGGGCTCTCTTTCCGTACAACCACTAACACTGCCCAAAGCCTCCCCTTATGACCTCATCTGATCCTGATTCCCTCCCAAAGACCCCACCTCTGAATTCATTAACATACAAATGGGTGCTGCATTCCCACGCAGGCGTTCTACAGGACAAACATTCAGCTCAGGGCAGAGTGAGCTGGCACACACCCGCCTGTGCACCCCGCCCGCCTGCTCGCTCGCTCACTCGCTCGCCCGCCCTCCCACCTTGCCACAGGCCAGGGTGGGTGCGCTCCTGGGATTGCATGAGTCAGAGACCCGACTCTGCTCCTAGGGAGCTCGGAAGCTGGCCAAGGGAGGGTGTGAGCCTCAGTTTCTCACCAGTAGAGCAGGGCTTCCCGCATGTCCCTTCTTCATTCATGCCTGGGCCCTGCGACCATGTGTACTGCGCACCCACTAGGGTGTCAGACATGCTTCAGCCACAGGGGAGGCATTTCCATGCACTGAGTCCTCCAATGGAGATGATTAACTCGCAACAAAAAGTGCCAGACCATGACGATAGGAGAGAAAAGGTACAAAGACCAACATGGGCTGCTTCAGGCCGAGTGTTCAGGAGCCTCGTGGACTGTCGACTGGAGCCCCTTCTCCACTCCAGGGACAGACAGAAAGGCCAGGGAGGCTGTGTGGTGGTGGTGCAGGGGACAGGGGAGGACCAGCCCCGGAGAGCCACAGGGCTGTCAGAGCCAGGGCGCAGGGAGGGGTGGTTCTGAGAGACAGATGGGCTTGGCGGGAATTAACAGAGGTGACATGTGGCCAGGGTGCAGTAGACTTGAAAGACAGATTGCTGCAGGCAGGAGGAGCCTGTGACTCGTGGGGACCTTCTCTAAGTCCCTGTGCATCAGAGTGGTGCACAGAATTCCCTAAAACCCACTCCTGCCTTTTATCCCATTCCTACTCAATGGAAGATTGTTGAGGTCCTCAAGTGGTATGTTTTGCATACAAAATTCATAGCTTACTTTACTTAGCATTTTAAAATTAATATTTACTTTATGAAAGTTACCAATGTAGAAGCCTAGTTCTTCCTTAAACTTTAAGATCAACTTCACTAGTGTTCTTATTTTATAAAGAAGCATAGCAAACTGTAGCCATCACTTTCAAGGGAGGAAGGAGACACTTTGATTTATGTTGGGCCTGTCTGCATATGTGTTAATTAAACCTCTTTAAAGATATTAATCTGCATTCGTACATTTAATCTGTAATTGCATTTTAGGTCCTCCACTACTCTCAGTGGCAAAAAGAATAGGGAAAGGGAAATGAATAGGAAAACCTTTTAAGTTCTTGTTATAAATAAAACACATTAAGGGCCGGGGATTTAGCTCAGTGTTTCTGCCACCTGCCTCGAAAGCGCAAGGTCCCGAGTTTGATCCCCCGTACTAAAATAAAAAAAAAAATAAAACACATTAAAATGTGATACGGTCAAGTTCCCTCAGTGTTCCAATATTTTATAAGAATTTAGATTTCATGCTAAAATTTCAAGTCTGGGTTAATTACTTAAATGTAACTAAATGTTCACTTCAAGGCTGGCCTGGGACTCTAACAGGCTGGCTTAGGGTAAACATGGTGAATGCTGACAAGATCGACTATGCATGTTTAACACTGTTTAAAGTGTGGTTTTGATTCTCATGAACATTTGGATGAATGACTCTACAATGTTGTTATCCAAGACAATATCAGAGTCTCCTTTCCAAGGCATGGGGGGTGCCCTCCTGGCTGGAAGCACACAGAATGTCCAGGAGGCGGAGCTTTGCCACGGTTGCTCTGCCAATTCCTGCCACATGACAAGAGAGGGACGACTTTTCCTTCTGAGTCCCTAGGTACCAGTCACAAGTGACCCGATTCCTGTCTCTTGTCAGTCCTCATCTTCGTGGCGCCCTGTCTAGTTGTATCCCATTGATCATTTATCACCTCATGCATGTGTAGATATTTTTTAGGCCTTCCTATCTGTTAGCAGAGCCAACAGGTACTTAAATGGCATCTAGTGACTCCCTTCCCCCTGGGGACGCTGGACTGCAGCTGCTTAGTAACGCTAGTCCTTGAACTCTGAGTCCCTAACCAGGCTGTTTCTTCCCCAGGTCAACCCTGCTGACTGGTGGCCCCAACCTACCCCAGCAAGACATCCACCAGCATGCTTGTCCCAGACTCTTCATGA